AACTAACTGTAGAAGAATAGCATATGGTCATAAAAAAGAATGGCAATGCTCCCTGGGCCAGTACTCCCTGAAGGATTTGCCATCCTTAGGCAGATCCAGAGCATCTCCGAGCCTCTTGGGAAGCCATGGCATGAAGAAGCCCCATGGTCAAGGGCAGGTGTGCAGAACACATGGTGTGGCCCTCCTTCTCTAGCCAAGGCATAGCAGGGTCCCTTCAATGGGCACTGCTTAATAAACAATGTGGGAGAGGGGATGAGGACCCCTCTTATCGAAATGATGGAGTCTTGACGCTTGCATTCAGATCCAAGTGGTAAATGGAAGGAGACTGATGCAAATATGAAAAGGTGCTATGTCTAGGCGTAGTGGGCTTTTGAACCTTCCTCTCTGTAGTCATCTACAGCATTTGAATTTTCTACTCCAAGCATATATCGTCTTTGTACTTTATGAAAAGAATAAAAGAAATCTTCAAAATAAAAGCCACGAGTAACTAAAACCAAAATCTTATCTAGGCAATAAGAGTCCTAGGATCCCTGTTATAAACACTGGGACTCTCTTCCCCTGGCTAAAGAGTTATTGGCAATTGATGGCTTCTATTGGAGGGAACATCGGTTTTCTTCAGAAATGTGGCACCCGCACACATACAGGTGGCACCAATTGACTTCAGTGGGCTAAAATAAAAGACATAAAGTCAAGAGGGAAATAGGGCAGCAGTAGAGGATAAGGGGTGGAAGCAGGAAACGGGTGCAGGATAAGATCAGAATACACCGAGTACATGGATGACATGTTCACATCTGGAAACTCAGCACGCAGGATGCCGACACAGGTGGATGTCTGTGGCTTTGAGGTCAGACTGTTCTATATAATGAGTCCTAGGCTGTCCAGGGCTACAGACGGAGATCCTTTCTCAGACAGATAAGTAGGTAGGTAGATAGAGAGATTAAAAAAAAAAGTTTGTGATTTGAAGCCCAGTTAGACACAGGCAAGTAACTATACTACACCAAAGAAACTTAAATCTTCATGATTTTTCAGACAAAGGAGAGCATAAAAATAAAGGAGAAAGACTGAAAATTCAAAGAACACTTAAGAACATACAGCACAAGAATCCACACAAGCACAATGGCCATTAAAATAATAACTCTGTAGCTCTGACAGCTCTGCCTTGATATATTTTTTAATAATTTTGATTGTATTTAATGTATGTATATGCATACACGTGTGTGTGCATGTGTGTGTGTAGACAGCTTGCAGGAGTCTCTCCTTCTATCCATGTGTGTCCAGAGACATCAAATGCTAGTTGTCAGGCTTGGCACCCAGTACCTTTACCAAACACGCCATCTTGTCTGCTGTCCGCCTTCTGATCACTAAAGCCCTTGCAGAAACGGGTAGGGGCTTTGTAGTTTAGCCATATTTTGTCCAGTGCCTTTTTTATTTAACAAAATAATCCATGTTTTCTTTTTACCTCATCCTTTGAAAGATCATCCTGTTTTTCTAAGCCGGACACTTTATTCATGTGTGCTAGCAGTACTCAGTCTCAAAAAAGGGAGCAACTTCTCTGTGACTCCATTGCCTATTGAGCCACAGCCTCTTCTCCGTACTCACCATGTTGTCATGTTAAACAAGTACTCCCCAGTAGCCGAAGCCTCCAGACTTCTGGACTAAAATTGTTTGTGTTCACACAAATGACCTGCTACTGTAAAATCTTGACATCTGGCACATAGCTGTCACTTCCCAGCACCTGGTTTTTACCAAAGCAATGTTCCAACAACTGGAGGCAAGCCAGTGAAAGAAATACACAAGGCCCTCCTTTACAGAGACAGCCAAGAGATGGATCCCACACCATAACACAGAAGCTACTTCATGTAAGTTGTTCTTGGAGTAGACACCAGGCTGAGAATCGAGACTCCAGAATTCCAACTCCGTGCCCCATATACCAGAGTGGGATCAAGTCACAATACCTCCTCCCTCTGAAAGTGGAGCTCAGAGACACCTTCCAGATGTGCAGTTGGGGCCTCTGCATAATTCCTTAAACCAGAATGCATAATTAAGTTCATATTTGACTAAAAAGAGGGGGGAAAGTACCCCTTGGACAGGCTTCATAGGCGAGAGTGGCCTGAACTTAAACGTCAACCACAAAGCTGCAAGTTATTTTTATTTTTGCACAAATATCAAATAGATGGGAAGACAGAGTTAGTGGTCTCTTGGGAGAAGTGGTTATGCTGGAGGGTGAGAATTGAGAAGGGTATTAGCAATGCAATTCCATGGGATAGTTCTTCAAGTCCGAGTCACCCAAGGTACTGACACTAGCCTTGTGAGATGACATTTCCACATCAAATAGTTATGAAGTGATGAAGGTGGCTGAGACTACTTCCCCAAACCCATGGTGCACAGCTGTGGCCAGCCCAACTTCAGTCATGAATCATCTTCAGAGAGGATAAATGACACCAAGTGATCACCTGCATGACATAAGTCATCTTGCGATCCTGACTGACCTAGCACCAACAGTCCACGAGGCAGACACCTGTACAGAATTCAGCATACACACCCTGACTCAGTTGCTGCAGTATCTAGGACAAAACCCACACAAAGCCAGTCTGTTCGCTATGATGTTTCCTCATCCTTGCAAGGAAAGAGAGCCACAGATGGGCTGAAAACTCCCAAAGAGAATGGAAAGGTAAAGGGGAGACTACTTAGGCAGCTTCTAATGAGATCATAAAACCACAATCTGAGAATTTTATTATTCGGCTAATCCTCTTAACATAGAAATCCCCCCCACACTCTACAACCAAGCAACTAATTGAGAGTTAGAAAGTGTCAAGAGAGACTCCATCCCCTTAGTACAGGCAATGTAGGATTCCCTTACTCGGTATACTCAGTATGATAAGGTGATTTTTGTCAATGCGAGCCCTAATCAGGCAGAGGATTGGCTGGTGATGACATCATACCCATGGACTAATTCCCAGTGAATACACTTTTAATATCATATGCATCAACACATCATTTACATAACAAAATATTGTAATAAGTGTAACAGTAAAGAGAGGTGCAGATAAGAAGAGCTCTTAAGAAAGGCTCTGTGACACAAAAAGGAGGTAGGGGGTCAAGGCAGAGATCTGTCCTTTTCTACTAACTGGAACTAAACAATACACACCTCCAGAAGGATCACAAAATTAATATTGAAATTCAAGTGACCTAGAACAGTCTAGTACTATCAGAGGCTGCCTCCAATAAAGAATGTTCAGTAACAAAGAGGTACTCATAGGTGCACTTTGCAATGGGGTGAACTGATAAAGCCATTCATTCACACAGCAGGCAAACAGCTATTCTGGGGAACTTTGTTGCAGATCTCAGGGGAAAGCAGCCCATCACCTCATGACTTAAGTCCCCCAACACAAAATAACAAGTCAAAGGGTGGTGAGTACTGAGGAAAGGGAAAGAAGTCTAGAAAGACAAGAATAATGAGAGAGCAACTTACAGAGGAAACCTTGAAAAACAATTACTGGTCAAGCAATTGAAACAAACTACTGATTAAGAAACATCCACACCTAGAAAGCTCTGCGCATGAATGAGTGATACCAATTCACTGGGTCATTTGGGGAAGACAGGTCATCATTAGTTGGAGAGATTCTGGAAAGTGCTCTCACTGTCTTCATAAGGCCTATGTGTCCAGTCCAAAGGACATGGACTTGAACCCTGATTTGTGACTCTCAAGTTAACAGAAAAGCTCATTCAAGAATCGGTTGAAGAATTCTTCACATCAGATCAAACATCTGTTCCTAAACCACCAAGCGGTAAACACTAACTACATTACACTAACTACATTGTCACATTGCCATCCCTAAATTATATTGGGTTTCTGTTGCTGTTTGTTTGTTGCTTGCTTGTTTGCTTGCTTGCCGATGTACACAGGCTTGGGTGTCTGAGTCTGCAGATGGACTACGCCTATATGAAGGATATTACAGAAAATACCAGACTGAAGCTTCAACAGAAATACCCCCTTTCTGCCGCTGCCGCTGCCAAGCAGGGACTCTGCCTGTCATGTCATATTAACTTTGCTCCTCTCGAATGGAAGGCCATTAAAAAGTTAAGAGCAAAGATTTCGGGGATCAGTACTCTTCACCAAAAGGGACCCTTCAATCCCCGTGAAGGCGGACACGTGGCTGGTCTCAACGAGTCCGTGAACTTGTGCACATCCGTATTGCCGGCTGACTCATAACTCAGCTAAGCGTTCTCACCAGGGCGTGTGGAGTCCTCAGCATTCAAGAGAAAAGCACACTAGCACGCTGGAGAGATGCTTGTTTCTTGGGGCGCCTCCCCGGGTGCAGGCTATGAAGCTTTCTATTTGCAGCTACCCCAAGAACAAACCGGGGTTAAAGACACCTGCTGTGCTAGACAACCGGCCCTGCAACTGAAGCAAGAGGGAACGAAAGGTCCAAGCGCTGCTTTTGGTGGACAAAGCCAAGATGCCTCAACTCCCAGACCCTCCCCAGTTAACCTTTTATGCTCCCAGACCCAGCTTTTCTATTAAGGGTCCCAGAACCAACCCACGTGCTGACTCCTGTAAGGACCCCTGTTCAGATGCAAAAGGATGAAACCCGGAGGCCAGCGTGGTCACCAGTTCCTGGAGTGTTCGCCTTGCCACTGATCACTCCAATACATCAAGTGACTTGCTTCAGTACCAGCGCTACTCCAGAGTTTCTGAACCTCAAATATGAACCCCCCTAGTTGGAAGTGACTGCTGCCCGCCATCCCCACCCATACCCATCACGGCACGTATCCCTACTTTTCAGTGTCTCTTCCAACTTTAGGACACACGCGGCAGATTCAAATACTTCCCCCTGCCTGCTCTCCCAAAATGCTGGAGTGATCAGGGCTGTTCTGAACCCAGTTAACTAATACTAGCCCAAAAGGCCACTGCTGCCCTAGAGACAATGCTTGAGCACACATTTCAAGGCAGCTCCAACCCCATCTCCCGTCAGCTCTTCTCCAGAGACCATTCTTACTAGAAAGGGCAGCGGAGTCAGATCCGGTAGTCCAGGGCAAAGCACGGGTCGAAGCGCTGGAGTCAAAGGATGCTCAGCTGGCCACTCGCACGCAGGAGCCTCTGGCAACAGCCCATCACCATCTCAGCCCGGCCAAGAAGGGGGAAAGTTCCGGTGCTGCTACAAAGTGAAGCCAAAGCTACCAAGGAAAGCGCGGTGTTTTAACGGAGAAACATTGTCCGGGCCCCCTTGCGCGGCTGCAGACAGCCGTGCGCCCAGCAGGTGCGCCCCGTCCAGGGTGACTCCAGGCTAGCTAGCTATGCAGAAACCAGCCCAGAGCTAGCTGACCAGGAGGAGCCGGGCTGGCCGCGGACAACGCTGATTGGCCAGACCTCCCGATTGCCCGCGCCCCTGTCAAACTCCGCAGTCCACGTGGGCCGGTCCTCTGCGCCCCGCACCTCCCCATTCTACTGCTGGATGAGCCTCTCCCGAGCGCCTCGCTGTGGCCACCACTCTGCAGGTGTTGGGGGAAAAAAGGCGCTGAATTCTTCTGAACACCTGAGAGCCACTTTGAACCCTGCATAAGAAAGGAGCATTTGGGGTTCAGCTCCAGTTGAAACCGTTCCCTCCACGGAGACAGTCTGCAAGCACGAGTCCTCTGGCATGTGCAAAGGCCATCTGGCTTCATGTGTAATGTTATTACGTGGGAAAAGAGAAAATTTGACATACATGTCAATAACTGAATGATAAAAAATACATTTTTAGTGGGGCTAAGGATATAATACAGTTGGTAGGATGACTGCGTAAGCATCCAAGAGACCATCACTACATAAAACCAGATGTGGTGGCGCAAACTTGGGACCCTAACTCTTGAAAAGTAGAAGCAGGAAGAAGAGAAGTTCAAGGTCATCCTTGACTACTCAGTGAGTTTGAGGTCAGCCTGGGCTACATGATATCCTATCTTAAAATGAGTTTTTAAAAATGCAACTAGTTCTTTTCTGATGCCCTTCTCTACCTCATCCCCAGCCACGCCAAATCTTTCCCCTCTTCCTTCACAGAAGTAATTAGCAATCAGCAGCCTTTAAATAATACATGTAGTGACATTTCATTTGTATTTTAGTAAATAAAGCTTGCCTGAAGATCAAAGAGTGAAAAAGCCACTCAAGTCAGTCTTACTGACCAAGTAGTGGTGACACACACCTTTAATCCCAGCAACCACTCTAGTTTGCCTTAGAAACTGGGCAGTAGTGGTGTATGCCTTTAATCACAGCCCTAGAGAGGAATATAAAACGAGAGGAGACAGCTCTCAGTCAGTTTCATTCTGAGGATTCCTGGAGACAGGATCACCATTTCAGACTGACCTTCAGGGTGAGCCCCGATATCTGTCTCTGGGTTTTTATTTGTCATGCTACAATAATCCCTTTGCAGAGTTCTTTTGTTTGATCTCCATTGTACAATGGGGAAAACTGAGGCACAGAAAGTCTAAATAGCTTCCTGCAGTTTCAGGGTTAATTAGTGGTGCAGCTTACATTTGGTTTGCAAGCACAGGCCTTGTCTAAGACCAGGTTGGAATTTTGGACTTTCTGGCTCCACCCCAGAACCAGAATTTTCATTTAAACCAGATCCCCCATGTGGTTGCTATATGCATGCAGTCTGAAAAGTCACTGTGTTCTCTGCTACTGTGCTGTCCTCTGTCACTGGTTAATAGCCCTCTTCCCCTTGTCGTTCTAGCACAGATGCATCCAAATCGATTCACTGTTCTCTGCCCCTCCTGCTTGAACTCATCCAGGGCAGGCTCCTGCCTCTGCTCCCCATGCCTTCTTGCCATACATACACACAAGCCATATCGTAGTATTTTACTGATTGCTAAACACTGACAATCCTTGGCTCTTTTGTTATCAAAATTGGGACTTTGCAAAGATAGTCTTGCTATTAAATTGTCACCAGTCTAAAAGGGCTTTCAAACATAAGCAACCCTTGCAATCTTGCAGGATCCTATGACAGTTCAGCTAAAGGGCTTCCTGGGAAATGTCCAATGACGGGACGTGTCTCGTGCCGCTCTTAGAGGCAGAATGGCCCTATGATTGGAGATATGTGGCCGAAACACTGCCATAGGAAGGTAAGGTACCAGGCGAGGTAGCTAAATGAATCCCAATTATTTCTTCCCCAGCTGCTTATCAAATGTCTACATGCCGGGCTTAGGGATTCTGTGACAAACAGCAGGTGTGACTTCTGTCTATAGTTACAGGGAAAGTTGGGCACTAAACAACTCAACCAATATATAAAAGAGGCCATTGGAGAGTATCTGTGTGTTAAAGGAATATAGAATAAGCATGAGAGCCACGGTGGAGGATTTAAATTCTATCATCTGCCCTGGGAAAGGGACATGGTGACAAAAGGCCAGCAAAGCAAGCATCTAAGCAAAAACTGTCCCCAGTAGTAGCTCAGTTGTCATCTGTAAGAACCAGTCCTCCATTCATTTCATAGACGCCTCCCTCTATCCTGCCACCCGTTTTGCACCTTATGAAGTCACGCAAAATCAATCAATGTCTGTGTTATTAAAATGAGTCAGACATTTTTTATGTAAGAGCAGCTGAAGGTCATGCCAAGAGGGTGGGTTTTTTTTTTTTTTTTGGTTTTCATTCATACACAGCCGTTCACAACACCCCTTCTGCCTGTAGGAACTCCTGTGGTTTGAACTTTATGTTTCTCTTTCCTCTTGTATACTACTGGGCGTAAGCACTACTAAGCATGTCTTGGTGTATGGTGTACAATACACAGGCATGTGGCTGAATCTGTGAAGAGGCATTCTGACTCCCTTAGGCCTGTTTATAAAAATCTCCCCATTATCTGGGCTTGGAGGATGACTTGGTGAGTAAAGCACTTGTTGCTCAAGCCGGATGACCTGAGCTCAGATCCCTGGGTCCTGTACAAAAGCTGGACTCAATAGTGCCTGGATCTATAATGCCAGGGCTCCTACAGCCAGATGGGAAGGAAATACAGGAGACTCATTCTCTCAAGCTTGTAGGCCAACATTTGCAGTAACAGCATGTCTCAGGCAAGGAGGAAAGTGAAGACTGACACCCAAGGTTGTCTTCTGACCTCTACATAGGCACTGAGATAAACACACACACACACACACACACACACACACACACACACCCTTTTTTTATTAAGTAAAGCTCCAATTTAAATTTTTTTGCAATGCTCATGTACTTTGATTATGATTTTTCCTTGGGAGACTAATAATGATAACAATAAATATTAATCATAGCCCCGTGTGTCTGAGTATGCTAAATGCTTCATGTGGTTATCATGCTCATCTTCTGAAAAGGTAAATTTCTGTTATTAGAGCTTCTGTTCCACAGATGAAAAAGTTCCAGCTCCAAAAGAGCCAAATAATACGCCCATGTTCCTGGGCCAGTCTGTCACGGCAGCCTGTGCAGGGTGGCTAAGCAGAAACACATGAAGCTTCATGAATGCAAAAGAGCATGTGTCTATTCCGTGGCGCTGGTCTTTGAAATGTTCAAAGTGCCATTCTCTCACTTTTTGTATTTACCCCAGCCCTTTAACTTTCAAGTTCACTTTTCTCACTAGATGCTCGCTTTGCTTCGCCTTGCTTCAACCTGGGAGCTGTGAGGACTTTGATAAATGAAACAACTGGTGTATTTTTTTGTTTGTGTTAGGCCGATCTGCTCTTCAGCATCCTCTGAGGAAATGCGTCAGGCTTCTTAGAGCTCAAACACTGACAGCTCTTCAAGACAAAGGAGACCCACCCCTTACCCAAGTAACAGAGAAGGCTTCCCACCCCTTGCCATAACGGATGCTGGGTACAGTGTAAAGCGGTAGTTCTGGCGCTCCTTGCGCAAACATGAATAGTCCTCCCTCCTGCCTGAGAAGGAACTCTGGAAAATGAATCAGTATCTGTCCTCACAGCTTCTCCACAGTCCCAATCCGAGAGAAAGCACAGTGAACTTGTAGTGAGAAGAAGATGTAAGGCCACTCTGGCTGGGTCTGGAATCCCTCACCTCTCTCCGGAAGTATGGGGTCTGCTGCAGTTGCTAATGACTTCCTGCTTTGGATGTCTTGGCCAGGTTTGTTTCAGACTTCTGGAACTCAGACAAGGAGTCTGGCTATTTGCTTTGGAAGGCTCAGGTGGGTTTCTCTACCCTTCCCTTTGCTGACCACAAGGGTTTCAATAATTTATATCTCAGAGAGGAACAGCACTTCAGGGCAAATTAGTGTAAGAGGGATTTATGAACCCACAGCAGAGCACTTTTTGAGAGATAGCACCAGAGCCGTTGCACAGAGAGACACAAACTAGATTCTGATCAGATCCAGCCTTGCGTAGAATCATCAAAGAAATGATGCCCTCTCTTTCCCACCTCTTCTTCCCCAACATCTCCCAGTCTGGTTGTCGACCTCTGAGCTCCCTGAATATTGGGGTTGTCATTCATTCATTGATCCTTTTACTAGCTCATTTAGAATTCTTGCTTATCAAAGGGACGTGTGTATGTATGCCTGTGTTTATTGAAGCATGATTCGTGGTGGCTGAAAAGTGAGAAACAGCCAATCTGTTCAGCAGACATACAGTAATCAGTATGTGTGCTTGTACAATAGAGTATATTCAGCCTTAATAAGGAGGGGAATTCTGACATACATAACGGTGAATGAAACTTAAAGACAGAAAGGGGAAGGGAAATAAGCCAGCTCCAAAATGATCAATGCTGTGTGCTTTTTTTCCATATGTGATGTACCTAGAGATTTATAGAAATAAAAAAGAAAGACGGTGGTTGCCCAGGACTCGGTGAGCAGAACAGGGTACTGCTGTTTATCACATGCAAACTTTCAACATACAAGAAGAAAGATTCCAGGAGGGTGATGGCTGTCCCAAAATAGAAGTGTACTTGATACCATCTAGTTGTTCACTTACACGTATTTCATGGTAATTTTTTGATATGTGTGCTTCGCCGCAGCTAAGAGTGGCTTCACAATTATTCTCATCTTCTCTGAAGCTCTTTAGAGCTGAAGTTGCAAGATGTGATTTCACGTATACCGTAGATTACCCATGCAACTGCAATTTGATTATAAAACGGTACTTAATTCTGTTTGTATGTATTTGACGTCACATCCAACATTTGAGATACAACTGTGAAAGGTATTCATAATGCCTGACCTCGAAGAACACACAAGAGCAACTATATTGATACAGGTGAAATCTCTAGCTACATCCTGCTTTCCTCCTCCACGGATTTGTTTTAGCTCCTCTGTGCCAGACTCACTGCTGCAAGC